GACCCCAGTGCTGGTTACTAGGAGTTCATCGGTCAGACAGCTTAGCCAAATGATTGAGCTCCAGAGTCAGGGAGAGATTCTGTCTCAAACAAAATAAGGTGAGGCAGAATAGAGGAAGGCAAATGAAGCCAGCCTCTAGCCTAAATAGGCACACAGGCACACATGCAAACATACAGCCATATATACCATACAGGCACACAGACACACCCACAGTGAGGTCTATCTAACTCCAATTGTGTTAAATAAAAGTGTTTCCGGAAATCGCCATTGACTGACTACCTTGAAACTGCATTTGAAATTTCTAGTGTTTTTTTTTTTTAAATTATTTTTTGAGATTTATTTTTATTTTATGTGTATGGGTGTTTGGCCTACATGTATGCCTGTGTAACACACTCATGCAGTGCTCAGGGATGGTGCTGGATTCTCTGGAGCTAGTTATAGATGGCTGTAAGCTGCCATTTGGGTGCAGGGAATTGAACCCAGGTTCTCTGGAAGACCAGGCAAAGCTCTTAAACCACTGAGCATCTCTCCAGCCCCAAAGTGCTTTTTCTTTAGAGGGAGAAGTTGGGAAGTTGATGCCCAGGGCAAATGAATATTTTTGAACTGGGCAAACTTTTGAGATGTGCAGTCTTTCCAGGAAAAATATTCAAATAACAAGAAAAATTGTGCATTTTCATGTCATTTTAAAGGAGTCCCAGATCATTTAAAGCTCAAGGATCAACCTTCTGCTGAGTCTGTAAATCGATCACATTTTAAAGCACTCATGTACTGGGTCCTGCATGAGTGTGAATCCGGGCTGAACTTTGAACAGGATCTTTACTCCTGCGATACCGTAGCTTGCTCAGCCTCAGCAGGAGGTGTACCTTAAGGTTTGCTTTCTCAGCTGGTCAATTCCTCTGCTTTCGGCTTGATCGCCAGTCTTATTTTATTTTTTTCAAGCAACAGTTGGGCTTTATATTTATCACACATAATTCTAAGGTTTAAAACAGTTACTTTGTGGGAAGTATAATTGTTCCCAAACTTAGAATTATGTGTGATAAATATAAAGGGTTCAGAGCCAGTACTTATGAATTTCTAAATAAATTGCTGGGTGTACTATTAAATCCTCACTCCTGGCCACTCTATAATAGGTACACAGAAATAATACACAACATAGGATGGAAGAAGGCTCTGCGTTACTTAGCCTCCACCAAGCCTTCATGTTATCCTTCTCCTGGGTTATTAATGACATTCGACTTGCTAAACCCAGAAGCTTAGAAGTCACACAGTTCAACGTCTCTGTGACATTTGGTTTATTGATCGGTGCCTCCTTTATGAAACCATCTTTTACAGCTGTCTCAACATCACTCACTCCTGACTGTCTTGCTGCCCACTCTGGCCACATCTCAGTCTCCTTCCTCAATCTTTCTTCATCAGTGTTACACAGGGATGTTCCCTTGGCTTCTTTTCCCATCCGGTCTGTGCTTTATCTCTGGACAGTCTTGCTGGACTTAATTATCATTTAAGCATGGACCACTTCCTAGTTTTCAGTCTCAACCTCTTAGAAGCCCTAGATTCAGATATGCAATTGGAGACTTTCAAATACCTAAGTCTCCCAAACCCATTCTCTGCTTGCATTCCTCATCGTGGTGTATGGCAATACCATCTCCCCCTGTTATTAGATTCATATGCTATATTTGGCTTGAACTTTTGCATCCACAGACACATAATGTGATGCTCACCGGTACTCTGGAGCTGGGTAGCAGGGGCTCAAACGCAGGCCTACCACTGACTAGTGGCCTCCTGTAAGATGTTTACCCTCTCTGCCTTCACCTGGCTCCAAAGTGAGGACAGCAACCACCTCCTACAGGTTCTCATGGGGATTCAATTTGCATTTGCAAGTGCTCAGACAAGTGGCAGTGCACAGGAAGTGCTTGCTGATACATGGGAGGTTACCAGTTATGGAGTGTTCAACCAGGGCCCATCTTCACGCAAAGTGCTGCCAATACAGAATCTCATCCAATCCTCAAAATAATTTGTTCAGGAGGTATTCTATTGTCTTTGGAGAGTTGCGGAAACTGGTCCTCTGAAGGCTAATGTACCTTACTCAAGGCCATATGGCTTGTAAATGTGAGAGTTAGGAGTTTATTTCAGGCCTACGCCTAGAGCCAGTGTTGGGAACATTTATATGCAACTGTTTGCCCAGACCCAAGTTAGACACTTACTAAAAATTCTTCAGAGACTCCAGATTGGTGTTGTGATTATTTTTTACAATCTTTTTTACAATCTACTTCTTTCAGGTAGTCTGGCCTGTCTTGCTTTCCCGGTTCCATCTCTCCTCCCTTCTCTTTATCCTTCCTTTCTCTCTTCTTTCCTTCCCTACTTTCCTTTTCAATGATTACTGGATGTCCAAGTGCCAGACACTGTGCTCAATTCTAGAAGACAAGAAAAGTGAGCAATTTGTCCTCCAAGAGCTCACTCAGGGTCTACTTGGCTTTTAATGGCAATACAGTGAACAGAATGATCAGACCAAGGATGCGAGGGGACCTCACAGACACTTTCAACCTTTTGGAGGCTATTTGGGTCAGATAACATTGTGACACTCTTTAGCAGCCCTGGCATCCTGCTATTTGCCCTTGGGGTCTCTGAGGTGTGCTTTTTCCGCGTGTCAGATCATTGTCTGAGACTGGATTTCAGAAGCATCTCTGCGACATGACATCTTTTACTTTCTCCTCAGCCAGAGATACTTGTTTCCTTACAGCATGGATCACATCATGACCTTGACTAGACTGTGATTTTCTTCAAAGAAATGACAGTTTTATGTCATTTTGAACTGTCCCTTCATTCCCAAAGGCCGTGACTGGAATATTATAATTTTCACTCAGCAGAGTTTGGTTAAGTAAAGATTATATTCACAAGGAAGTCTTAAGCAAAGGGCCTGTCTGGTTCTGACCAAAACTATTCCGATAATTCTTAAAGCTCGAGACTTTATTCTCTACTGAGAATAGGTATTCAGCAAATGCCATTCAACTATTTGTTGAAGTATTTGTTTGTAATAATGCTAGGAATAAAGAAATTTCTGCTGGACATGATGATGTGTGCCTTTAATTCTAGAACACAGGAGGCAGACGTAGGGGAGGATTTCTGTTGAGCTAGCGGCTAGCCTGCTCTACATAGAGAATTCCAGGCCAGCCAGGGCTACATGATAAGACCCTGTCTCATTTTTTCCCCCTTATCCACATGTGTGAATAAATAAAGATTTTGCATCTGGCTAGGCAGCTGGGCTTTGAGTCAGGCTGGAGAAAAACTAGGAATTATTGGTTTTAGAGCTAGTACTAAGGATTTCATTTTCCTTCAATCAGACCACAGTTCCTGAATCTTACATACAATTAGGGCTGGGAGGGCTGTGCTGTGGCAACAGCGTACCCAGTGTATAAAGTTCCCTTTCGCCCATGTTTCTCTCCTGGCATTGTACTGTTTTAGAAGAGGGGACATTTTTTGATGGGAAGAGGATTACCAGGCTGAAGGAGTTGTTCTCCTCCTTTTCTTCTTGTTGGCTTTGCTTATCCTGTCTATCTTTTTAAAAGAGATATACATTTATTATTTTTAATTATGAATATATGTGTGGGCCTGTGTGTGAGTACTTTATGCGAGTACAGGTGACCTTGGGGGCCACAAATACCCTCGGAGTGGGAGTTACAGGTGGTTATGAGCTGCTTGCCGTGGATTCTGGGAATCAAATTCAGGTTTGCTCTTACCGTTGGAGCCATCTCGCCAGCCCTCTGACTATTCTTTCACCAGAGGTTGAGGCTGTTGTACAAACATTTGCCAGAAAGATATGCTTTTTCCTACCAAGCCTCATACCCTATCTTTTTCCTGAAGAAACATTCATAGAACCTTATTGGCTGAAATTTAGGGGAAGGAAAGGAGGTAAAAAAAAAAAAGTGTGTGTGTGTGTGTGTGTGTGTGTGAGTGTGTAAGCCAACAGAGATCTATATTGTCCCAGGCACAATACTTCCCTAGCAAACCTTTGAGTCTCATCAAAGTTGTAAGAGTTAAAGGATACAGCACGTGTAAAGAACAGTGTGTGGTACAGGGACAAGGAGAGACATATTCAAAAACAACGTCAGCTACTGTGTTTCCAGGGCTCTAACACTCAGGGTCGAACCTGGGCTTTTCCCTCAGATAAGTCCTTCAGGGCAGTCACTCTCACATTGAATGTGGTACTTTGCTGCCTCTGTGGGATCTTTACAGAAATCAGCCTGGATATGGGACTGTCTCACAGGGAGTAGACACATAGAGGATTCTCTTTCCTCCCAGCATTGTTTTCCCTCTCAGAACTTCCACCAAGTCCCAGTCAGCTGGATCACAAAGTTTCAGTCATGGTTTGTATCCAGATGTTTTGGCCTATCTGGTAGCTCTGGGACTAACTAGACAATTACACTGGGATACAGAAGCAGCACAAACTTTCTGGTACTGACATTTTAAATTGATTTCAACAAGCATTTATTGAGCACCTAAAGCGTGCAAATAAGTTCCCTTAAATACAATTGGCTCTTAACTGTCTCAACTACTCAATTTGGATTGCTGTTGATTCATCTTTAAGGGTTTTATGAAGAATCAATATTAAATGGAGGTAATATTTGCACAGTTCTCTGTAAATATAAGCGTCTGTGTGGATTATTGTTGCTCCAGTACCAATATTAATTGCAGTAACAACAGCGCTGTTTCCCAGGCAGAGTGTAGAAAGCAGCTGTAGGCAGACAGGAGGCAGGCGGAAGAGGTCAGGGGAGGTGCCTTCCCACGTCCGGCCCAAAGGGGGCGGAGCATGAAGGAAAGCCCCCTAGGCCACGCCCACCCCGCCCCCCTCCGTCGGAGCGGCGTAGGCGGTTACCATGGCGATGACGTCTAGAGGGCGGGGCGGGGCGGGGCTATGGAGAGGAGGAGGAAGATGGCGGGAGGGCGGCTCTGAGGAGACCTCGGCGGCGGCGGAGGAGGAGAGAAGCGCAGCTTCGCGCAGCGCCGGGGCCCATGTGGGGAGGAGTCGGAGTCGCTGTTGCCGCCGCCGCCGCCTGTAGCTGCCGGAGCCGGGTGGGAGTGAGGGGGACACGGCAGGATGAAGTTCGCCGAGCACCTCTCCGCGCACATCACTCCCGAGTGGAGGAAGCAGTACATCCAGTATGAGGTACCGGCGGCTGCTGGGGTTGGGGCGGGCTCGGAGGGGCTGCCATCTCCCTAGCCGCCACCTCCGCCGCTGCCTTGAGCTCCCCGGCCGGGGCGGACTTTGACCCACCGCCGCGGGGAGCCACTGCGGCATCCCCGGCGCTGCTGGCCCCCGGCGGCCAGGCCGTCCTTCCCCTCCCCCGCAGCCCTCTGCCGCCGGGGTAACGGATATGCAGGCGGCGGCGAGAGGAAGGGCACAGCCGGGCTGGGGCTGGGACTGGGGAATGGTGGTGGGAGGCCAAGCCGCAGGTGCGACGGCAGCCCGGGGTCGCGGCGGTTCAGCGTTCCCCCCTCCCCACTCACCCTGACCTCCGGTCCCCACCGCGGGAGATCACCCACTTTGCCAAGGTTAGGTGCTTCTCGCTGCTCACCTCTCGCCAAAGAATCGTGCTCTTGCAAGATGAACCCCTCCAGCGATTGCCTTCATTCCACCCAGCCCGTCGGCTTACCTCCACTTGCCCACTGTTGACAAAGGCTTTGTAATAGGATTGAAACTTGGTGAACTGTGTATCACCTAATGCAGTGGTTATGGTTTTCAAACGCATTGAACCAGTAGTTCTGTTTTGATAAGGAGACGGTGTCTCGTCTTTGTACTGATTGCACGAACTATACAGAATAATCACATCTTTGGATTTTCACTTCTCCGGTTTTGGAATGGAGGGAAGAGGAAGGAGGGAAGAGAATTATTTAAAATTTCAGATTTTCTTCTAAGTTTTTGAGTAGGGAGAAAAATCACTGTAATGTAAATACTGTACCTTACTTGTGTATTACACAAGTCGTGTTCCTCCTTTCAGTTTCTTCTTGCACAGCTTTTGGAGGGTTTTTAATACATGCTGTAAGGAGCCTTGCATCAATATTGCAATTGGGAAAAGTAAAGACAGTGAAAACCACTTACATACCTAAAAGGTAGGATACCTGAAAGGTTTTTTTTGTTGTTGTTGTTTGTTTGTTTTCTTAAGCTTTCAATAGGTTATTCTCAGAAGCTAGTAGTTCAGCTCCTGGAGAGAGAAAAGACAGTGGATCTGTAACCTCCAGGAATTCACATCTATGGTATGAGCAGGAACAAAGAGTATAAAATCAATAGGACCATGCACACACATACTAGCTAGGTTCTATGAATTAAAATATTTTAGATTTCCTTTTTAACTTTTATATAAAATTTAGCGATAGGATGTTTAGGCAACAACAGTAAGTTCATTTACTCCTGTAGCCAATGTAATAATTGAAGGCTAGGGAAAGGGATAGTTAGGTTAAACAGAATCTTGAAGATTGTAAGATAAGTTTACTTGTAATATATTGTATCTAATGTCAGAAATGAATGTCTCATTACTAATACTCTCTTGTCAGTTTCCTTGTAATCTTCCTTTGCCACATTCTGTAAGAAAAGGTCCTAACAGTTCAGGCTGTGGAGTTGTTGATTTATGGTTTGTAATAACATTCAGTCAGTTTTAAAGCCTTGGCTAGAATCCAGATGGTGGGCTTCATTGGGAGAAGGGCTTGGGTTTTCATCTTCCGGTTAGCACTTTCAGCACCGCTGCTAGTTCTTCCCAGAGGTTAGTGCCGAAGCACTTACTATTGTACAGTATGGGATGCTTGCCTTTGGTCAGAGGAACCAGAGTTGGATATAGCCTGTGATTCTTTCTCAGTATTTCAACATTTGACTGTTTCATAGAATTAATGTAGATGATCTTGGACTGGAAAGGGAAGCCTGATTTAGTTTAAAAATGCAATTAACCCTTGATTTGTAATGTCAGCTTTGTGGCTGGAGTAACCACGGTGACTCTGGGACTTCTCAATTTATACAGTCTATTTGGTTACTATTATTTCTAAATGGTTACTCAAGATTGGTCACAGTGGGACAGAATTCCTATGCTTCTGAGTGACTGCATTATCTTTCTCAGACCAATTATAAATTACTTTTTGAAAAATTCATTTATTGTGGATAATTGAAATTTGATTCTACAGAGATTCCCCTACTTATAGCTCTTACCTCAGTCAATTCATTGTTGTATAGACAAGATGAAAAATAAGGGGCTTTTTTTTTTTGTAAGTTGGAATCATTAAAGAATTTGTATGGGATTGCAGTCTTTGTGTTGTATATTATTTCCAAAGATTTGGTGCTATTCCTTTAAAAATAGCATAGAGGTATGAGAAAGAATTTTTAAGGTCTGGGAATGTTACAATGTTAGTTACTTTAAAACATCAGGAAAGAGACCCTGTCTCTAAAAAAAAAAAAAAAAATTGCCAGGAATAAAAGGTATCTATATTTAAAAGTTAGATTTTGCTAGGGAAAAAGACCTTCACTTAATTTTTTATAATATGTATTTTTACATAGTGGAAAATGATGCTCTGTAAAACAGTTAGCAGAACAGACTTGGATTTGTTTTTCAAGCATTGGTGATGAAATTTTGATGTATTACCCTTAGTTCAAGCCTTGGATGCCTTCTTGTGCCCTGAGCCAACACGAACTCTTCAGCTCCTTTGTTATGTCAGCTTATTAAATACTTGCATCAGGAGGAGCTTTAGATAGGAACGGAGCATTTTGTTTACATCTATAATTCTATATAACATTTAATTATATATAATATTATGGATACATGGCTGCATTGTAAGTGCTGGCTCTCGTGTATGTTAGTTGTGAGGCCTTGAAATATTTTTGCTCTTCCTTCTTTCTTCTTTTTTTATTAAAAAAATACATATGAAGCCAGAGCCTTTTAAGGCCTACTCTATTTCCTAAGTATTTGGCTTAACTTTTAATTCTTTTTTTATTCTTCAATTGCTCAAATTATTAATGATAGTAGCATATGAATATCCTGGAAATTATTAGTCTTCAACTAGAAAAATGTGCATTCATAGGCAGAATAAGCACAAAAGAGTAGAGAAACATGGAAAGACCACATACGGGACATCTAGGTGATGCTTTATAGTTTTACTGGAAATAAACACAAATGAGCAGAGACTATCTTTGTTGTTAATAACCTAAGTACAAATCTCAGTGTGGAAAATAGAACATCAACAAGTATTTCTAACAGTGCTTTCAAGAAATGTGAAATCAAGCCGGGCAGTGGTGGCACACGCCTTTAATCCCAGCACTTGGGAGGCAGAGGCAGGTGGATTTCTGAGTTCGAGGCCAGCCTGGTCTACAGAGTGAGTTCCAGGACAGCCAGGGCTATACAGAGAAACCCTGTCTTGAAACACCAAGAAAAAAAAAAAAAAAGAAGGAATGTGAAATCAATGGATGTATAGTTTAGAGGTCTGTACTAGGTTAGTCAAAATTAACCTAGCCCAGTTTCATCCAGAGACTAGTATGATCAGTTAATATTTTACAGAATACTAGCAAAAGAGGCAAATATGTTTGAAGCCTTTGATTGATGATATGATGTTTCTTCTGAGAGTCCTGCTCGTTGGTTTCTCAGCACTAAGAATGACTTTTTTCAGTGTATACTGTAGAAAGCATAAAATGCTAAAACAGGGAGCTCTCCAGAGTTCAGGAATTGAAAGGAAATTTTAAAGATTATCTGTCTTCTTGCTTTGTGCGCGCACACACACAAACACACAACTAGCTTCTTGAGCACTGTATATTTTAATATTGGGAGCCAGGTCACATTAGTTGTGCAGCTCTGATGAAATGACTTCCTCCTCCTGGAGTTTCAGGCTGTTCATGTGGATGTTGTATTGGAGAAGTAACAGCGCTGATGGGTTCTGTGTAAGCCTCATGTGATCTACCATTCACCTACATCTCCATACTTTGTTATGGTTTAATTATGTTTATGAGGAGAGAATTTAGGGAAATAAATGTTTAAAAATCATCTTCTCAAAACTTTAATGAAAAGCTAGGTATAGTGGCTCCCAGCACCCGGGAGGCCAAAGGCAGGAGGTTCTTTGTGAGTTGAGATCAGCCTGGTCTACATGGTGAGTTCCAGAATAGCCAGGGTACATAGTGAGACCCTGTCTCAAAAACCAAACCAAACCAAACCAAAAACAAAACCACAAATAAATAAATAAATAAATAAATAAAATAAAATTGAATACATTAAAAAAACTGATTTTTTTTAAAATTGAGATTATGTTCTGTGACTGGAAAACCCAGTGAAACTATGTTTCCATTGCTGGAGATTGAACCCAGGGCTTTGGGCATGCTAAGCAAGTCTCCTTACCGTTGAGCTATACCCCTAGCATAAGACTTATTTAACTTAAATAAACAAAAAGTAGTGGTCATGAGCTAATTTTTTGTTGCATGATATGGAAAATGCACTGCATGAACTGCATTTCCTTATTTTTCAGTTTAAGGAAGTATTGCCATAGTGTTGTTGTGATTCTCATTTCTAGAACCCTCCCATGGGAAAACTTGTGTTGCAGGCTTTAAGTGTCTCAAAGGTATTATGTTGATTAGTTAGGGTTCACATGCCTTGCTGGAACTTGTTTGAAATTTCCAGTTAAGCCACCCGATGGAGCACAAACCACACTCTTCCTTTATGGGACTTCTCCAAATAAAAAATACAGTGTAATATATTTTAAATAGTGCTTGTAAATGATTGCTAGTGAGATGCCTGACATTTACAAATATGATTTAAATGAGTGAATAAAAGTTCTTATTGTTCTTTATTGTCTCTGTAAAGTGTGTTAGGGTAAGTATCCTGGTAAGATTATACTTGTCCATCCATTCCTGAGGTTGGCTTTGGATCAGCTTTTGGGTGAAGGCCCAGATCATAAGAACCTAAGAATCTTATTTGACCTGGGGTGACCATGGAAAACCAGCCCTGGCTTCACTCCTCATTTGGAAAAACATTTGAGAGACTGAGTTATACTAGCTGGGGGTTTCAGGTATATTTGGATTTTAGGCACCAAACCAGTATATCCCAAACTCTATGGTGTAAGAGAAGATAGTGTTAAAATTGTTTGTTAATTTTATGCAAATGAGAAGGAAAAAATAAAGTTTTCCAAATGTATCGTAAATGGATT